TAGGAGGATTATGTGAGCCATGAGAAGGAGACCAGTCTGGGCAACATGGCAAAACCCTGTGTCAGATTAGAAAAAAGTAAAACCTATAGAACATCACCTTTTATCAACTGGCTTTTGTTCCATACAACTAAAATGCAATGACAACTGATCAGGACAAAGTACTTAGGGATCATACACTGTTTTTTGAAACATGTAAGTGACTTTCTGATTAGTTTAAATACTGAGTCTATTTAATCGTACTGTTTTGATGTATTTAAAACTTCATCCCAGCTAGTATTTGTCATTGTGCTGCATTAAACTGTCAATGGCTCTCCATTGCCTGGGTCTGTGGTTCTCAAATTTGTACAGGAAGGTATTGTGGGGATGGTTGCATAACTTAGGCATATATGAAAAACCATTCAACCACACATTTTAAGTAGGTGAATTGTGTGGTATGTGAATTCTATCCCAAAAATTATTTAAAAAATTGTAGGGGAACCAAAGCATCTGGAACTTAGCACTTGAAATGTAGTACACTGAGATGCTAAACATCAGCAATTTGGGCTGGGGATTTAGCTCAGTGGTTCCACCGCCAGCCTCGCAAGTGCAAGGTCCTGAGTTCAATCCCCGATACCAAAAAAAAAAAAAAAAGTAAACATCAGCAATTTTACTAGGAAAAAATAAGACCATCATACATATATTTAATATTCACAGATTATTTTTGACATTGAAATTCACGGCTTATGATTATGCCTATAAAAGCAGCATAGCTAAGATTATCAAAAATTTCTGATGCTTATCTTTAATATTGAATTGCCATTTGTTGGGCTGGGCATGTGTCTGAGTGGTACAGCACTAGCCTAGCACACACAAGGCCCTGAGTTCGATACCAGCACCACGAAAAAAAATTACAATAAAAAAATTTAAATTTAACCATTTGTTAAATTGCTTTGTTGCCTACCACTATTTGTTAGCAAGCAAGCATTGACAACACTAAAGACTTAAGCTAAGCTTTAAAAGTGAGGATACATTGAAACTTTTTTTGTCTTCAAATTAAGACTGCACATTTGTAGGAAAATGGATGCACCTTGAGACATTAATGTTAAGTGATATAAATCATACACACAAGCTTAACTATTGCATGGTTTCTCTTATATGAAAAACCCAAAATATAGATAATTTAAAGAGGAAAATACAAGGTAGGTAACAGGAAACAGGGAAATAAATCTTTTGTAGGGCTGGGGATTTAGCTCAGTGGCACTGTGCCTGCCTCTCAAGCACAAGGTCCTGAGTTCCATCCCCAATACCAAAAAAAAATCTTTTGCAGTTGGGAAGGGGACCAAAAGAGGGAGGGAGTAGGGGAGTAAAAAGAATTAAGATGTATTATATACATTCACCAACTCCCTTCAATGAATGTAATCATTATATATTGCAAACATGTGCTAATTAAATAATAAATTAAAAAAGACTGCTCCTAGCCAACCACCCTCATTGGAGGAAAGATAGCATATTTAATAAATGGTGTTGGAAAAACTGGATTTCAACCTGCCAAAGATTAAAACTAGACCCATACCTATGACCGTGCACTAAACTAAGATTGAAGTGGATTAAAGATCTAAATATTAAGACAGAAACACTAAACTTGCTGGAAGATTAGTTAGGTAGAACTCTTAATGACATTGGCATAGGAAAAGACTTTATGAACAAATCTTCAGTATGACGGGACCTAGCACAAAGAATCAACAACTGGGATCTCATTGTATTAAAAAGCTTCTGCACTGCAAGAGAAACTACCAACAGAGCTAAGAGACAACCTACAATGTGGGAAAAAAAATTTTAGCAGCTGTACCTCAGACAAAGGTCTACTATTGAGAATATATAAAGAATTGAAAAAAATCAGACCCCCCCGACAAATTCAAAGACCCAATTCAAAAATGGGCATCCAAAATGAACAGATATTTCTCAGACAAAGAAGTAAAAGCAGCAGATAAATACATGAAAAAGTGTTCAACATCACTGGTCATTGGAGACATGCAGATGAAAACAACACTGAGATTCCACCTCACCCCAGAAAGAGTGGCTGCTATCAAGACATCATCCAATAACAAATGCTGGCCGGGGTGTGGAGAGAAAGGAACCCTGTGGAGACATTGGAGGAACCCTGTGGGGGCATTGTGGGTGGGAGTGCAGACTGGTGCAACCACTGTGGAAATCAGTATGGAGATACCTCAAAGAACTAGGACTAGAGGTCCCATTTGACCCAGCTGTTCCCTTACTGGGTATCTTCCCCAAAGAATTAAAAGAATCATACCACAGCGATGTATGTGCACCTATGTTTATAGTGGCACAGTTTGTAATAGCTAAAGCTTGGAAACAGCCCAAGTGCCCATCAACTGGAAACTGGATAAAGAAGATGTGGTTCTTTTATAAAATGGAGTACTACTCAGCCATAAAGAATGAGAAACTACAGACATTGATAGCTAAATGGATGCATATTGAGGCCATACGCTTAAGTGAAATAAATAGGACACACATGTGTAAATACCAAATAGTTTCTCTAGTGTGAGAAACTGAAAGTGTTAATAAAGATTAAAATGATTAAAATGAATAATTGATAATTTGAAATAGGAAAAGGTCCAAAGGTGTAGGGGTGATGGGAGGGGAAGGGGAAAGGGAAGAAGGGAAAGGAAAAATTATGAGAAAGAAAAAAAGATGGAAACAAAGTCTGTGTAAATAGGGAAGGGTGGAGGGGGTGAAGGGCACACAGGTAATGGGGGAAAAAATAAGAACTAAAAGATACATCATGTACAGGTACAAGCACCCAATGATAAATATAAACGTATTATATACCTAAAATGTACCAATAAAATAAATTTAAAAAAAAGACTCCTCCTAAACATTTGAACTTAGAGTAACACTGTTTTCTGAGAAGAGCTTTTATAATCCCTGCTTTCTTCAAAAATGCCTATATTTTAAACATATCATTAAAAACCTATTGTTCAGTTTGGTGTCAGAGGACCCTTCCACTCTCATCTTTCCCCTGAAGCCTCAGGCTGCTTCTGCACCAGTAGACGACTAAGTATCTTCTCCATCACATACTTCAGCCCTGCTCAAGCCCCTCCAGAACTCCTCTCTTCACTCAACCCTTCAAGGCCCACCTAACTTTTTGTCCCAGAAAGCATCAGAGCAGGAAATGTGAATATTTCACTAACCTTTGTATTTCCAGCACACACAGCCTGGGACATCTTAGAAAATGCCCCATAATCTCCCCTTCTCTCGTCCTCCAGTCTGAACATGTGTCTACCACTTATATGGTGCTGGGACTATTTTCAGCGACTTCAGTCTCTCAGTCTCTTTCCCTGGCAACCCATGAGCTACTGAAGGCAGGAATTACATCCCTATTATATTGGATGCTCTGTGGACAACAACTAGTCAACCAGGCAAAATGGCAGTGACTGTAGTTCCAGCTATGCAGGAGGCTGAGGCTGGAGAACCCAGCCTGGTCAACATAGTGAAAAAAAAAAAATCTGGTTTATTGAGATAAATTAAAAATATTTTCTCTAATCCCTAGATCTCCAAAGTCTTAAGGAAAAATCCAAACATGCTCTTTACTTAAACAGGGTGTGTCAAAAACTGAGAGGTGTGTTGTAGGAGTCTGAGAACTCTGGCGAAGGAGCCATACACCTGGCTTAGAAGTCTTTTCTGGGGGATTTTCATACAGGCTGTATTTCAACTGTCTCTTGAAGAGTAAGTTTACCAGAAAAAGAGCAGAAAGAGGTTTTTAAGCTGAAGGAATCCCACACCAAGACAAACTGAGAGGATCGGACCATGAGTACCCTAAAGTCTGGTGCAGCTACTGGGACTATGGCAGGGAGTCACTGGTAGGGGACTGCAGAGTGTGCTGGGGCTGGCAGCCCTGAGCTGGGACTTCCCAACGCTGCAGCAGAAGCAGTGGGGTTTGTGCTGTTCTCAACACCCTCTCCTGCCTTGACCCTCCCCAACACAGCGTGCGGACCAGGTAAGAGTTGACCAGATCACACAAGCTTTGTGGACAAAGCCAGGGTGACATGATATCCTGATGGCAACCAACTTGAGACCGAGGACTGTGTTCTAACCAGTGAGCAAACAGCCAGCACTAGCGCCATGTAAACCGCACACTGAAGCAAAGGTCAAGAATGTGGTAGAACCACCACAGCTGGTTTCTTGGGATGGTCAGTATCATTCACATAGATTCCTGGCCTCCATGAAGCCCTCTCTGATTTTCCCAGCCTAAAGACCTCTGAATTCCTCATTCTGTCTCTCCCTCCCCTCCCCCTCCTTCCCCTTCCCTCCCTCTTTCCACCTCCTTTCATTTCCCTCTTTCTCTTGAAATCCAGAGCAGTTAATTTTGTACGTATGACACTTGGAAATTTTTTTCGTATGTTGCAGTTGTCTCTCCTCAGTGCTGGTACCACCTTTTCTCCTCATGCCTAACTTCACAAGCTTTTGTGTGGTACAGTGCACCTTTAATAGACCCCCTGGGAGCAAGACAAGGTATAAAGCAACCCAAGAATAAACATAAGATTTTAAGTTTCAAGAGGCGAAAAGTCACCCACTTTTACAAATGCCACAGCACTCTGCAAAAACTTTGTTAAATATTTTTTTTGTAGATAATCTGATGTGCTAACAATATGGAAAAAAACTTACTGGCTTTTGAGATGTTGATATTTACTACAGTGTTTACGTAGATGTTTATCTCGCATTCTTTTACTGTAAAGTAAGCCCCACAATGTCATATTCTCTCTCTCTCTTTCTCTCTCTCTCATCTTCATTTGCCAAATTTTCACCCTTCACATAAGTCTTTTTTGGGGAAAGCTTGTAGATTTAATTATTGTCCCTTTTTAAATTTCAAAGGAGATAGGGTCTGGAATTGTACTTCATCGGTAGAGCACTTGTCTGGCATGCAAGAAGCCCAGGGTTCAATCCTCAGGACCAAAAAAATTTTTTAAAAAAGAATATATTTATTTCAGCAAAAGTATAAAGTATAAATACAAAGAAACAAAAATATTTGATACTCATTGAGACAAAATTTCAATAAAGTACATTAACAGCATTACCAGTAATCAGCAAAAGTACAGTATAATAAATTATAAAGATGTGTTCATCTTTTAATGGAATATAACCAGAATAAACACAAGCATACTTTAAAAATACAGCAACATTGCCACCATACATGAAAACATTACCATAAAAACTTAACAATTTCCATCTGAACATTGAATTTTTCAACACTCTTTGGATTGACATTCAGCAATCTCGACATTCTGCTGCTGTTTACAGGCCAGACTAGCCATTCCTTCACCCCTGTGGCCCACGATGATCTGTCCCGTCACAAGCGATTAAAAGGAACACTTCCTGTTAGATATACAGTACTTCAAGGCTAATATTTAATCTTAATTGGCAACAAGTTTAGTGCAAAAAACATTACATTTAGCAGCTTAGAAAAGTTGTGATGGGGAGCCATTCTCATCCTAACCTTATTCTTACTGCTTCCCCAGAGAGAAATCATTTCTCCCTTTTGTGAGTACCAACACTTGGCCATTCAAACCTACTGAAAACTACTAATGATGATTCTGACTGTTACACAGGAAGTTTCCCTGAAAGACAGTTTCAGAAACTAATCAAATGAGCCACATGATTTTTATATTCAGAAAGTTCCTTTTGGGTTGATAGAAAAGAGTAGGGCCCAAAAGCCAGTCATTTCTCAGGAGGGAAGTGAAGGTCACAGCTGGGTCTCACTCACCTGCTTCTCTGGTCAGCGGAGACAACACCCAGAAGAGGCACCAGTCAGGTCCCACATCAGCCCCCACAGGTGGGGTTAGAAGAGGACTCCAGCACAGGGCCGTGGAATCTCCTCAATCAAATTCTACTCTCAAGTAATAATCTTTTTTCACTGATTTGAATGCCAAAAAGCACATAAGAAAGAGAGAAAGCCGACTGATTTCAAACCTGGTGCTTTCCACTCTCAGCCAAGATTTAATCTCCAAATGAAGAAAAGCCAGAGAGCTAGCCAGGGAGAATTTTGCCTGAGCTTTGTCACTTCCTCGAATTGTGTCTCTTTTTGTTAGACATCTGTTCCTTCTCCTGCCAAGGCCTGGGATTGTGGCTGCAGAAAGCAGTGTGGCTTACTGTGCCCAGTCCACCCTGGCAAAGGAGAAGGAAGAACAGCTCCTGGGTTTCGAGGGCCTGGCTCTGTCCCTTTGTTCAGGTTTCAAGCACATGTGCCTTCAAAAGCTGAGATGACGTCTTGGTCCACTGAGCTGACCTCCCTCCTTACCAGCTCCTCCAATCTTTTTCTATCCCCTTCAGTTCTCTCACTGCATAACTCAAAGATGAGGGAGTGATGGCAACACATGGAGAGAGGGGCCACCTACTCACTGTATTCTTCTCTCTCCCTCAGGCTGGGGAATTTCTCATGATGGTTGGCCAATTTCCATTTGTTGTGCTGACTCTTGAGTAGTGCAGCCAAGGACGTCTTTCGGGTAACATGTCTAGATATCTCCCGAGTCTTGGTTTTCCTAGTAGGGGAAGAGTTTTGGACTAAAGAATGTACAGGGAAAATGGGCTTGGCCCGAGGAGCTCCCAGTAGCTGCCATATTTCCCCAGAGGTATCACTGGCCAGATACTGCCACGGTTTCTTCCCACTGCTGTCCCGGACATTCACCCGAGAAGCCAACCTTTGCACCAGCAATTTGATAATTCCCTGATGGCCGTGTATGGCAGCAAGGTGCAGCGGGGTATACCCACAACTGGATCTCACGTTTACATCAAGCACAATCCCAGCCTTCCCGGCCCCCGAGACCAAGTCCTGGAGGGCACGGAGGCTGCCATGCTTGGCTATCCAGTGCAAAGCGGTGTACCCAGTCAGGAAGTCCCTGTGCAGAGCCAGCTGGGGGTCCTCCCAGAACAAAGCCAACACTTGAATCCAGGAGCCGCTAGCAAGCTTCACAATCCAATCATGTTCCCTGGCTTCTAAGGGGACCAGGGATGACTTGTGCTCAAAAGCTCTGTGAGGTACCAAGGCTGCAGCCCCCTCTCCACTAGGGACCCACCAGCTGTGTGGCCAACCTGTCTCAGCCACAGCAGCCTTAATGCCAGCCAGTTTTGGCGTCAAAGCGGCAGCCACCGTTGGGCTGGGCACTGCTCCTGCCTTAGAAGGTTTCCTGAGTCGAGGTGGGCAACGAGTCCTTTTCAGCAAGTCTTCATCAAGGCACTCCTCATCAGAGGAGGACAGAGTGGACTTCCCTGCCCGAGGACTCCTCCTGAGGGACCTCCGAGCTTTGGGAGGAGCTGGCCAGGGCAAAGGCTCTTTGACCCCTGTTGGGGCTTGCTTGGAGGGCTGGCTGGCCCCTCTGAGGTCCTGAGGTCCAAGGCTGGCAATGCCTTCCTTTGGGGATACGGAGAGGCCCCTCGCTGGATTCCTGGGCTCTCCCAAGTCTGGAACTCCCGGGGCACCTTGCAGCCCCTCTTCGGAGCCCCCAGGGGACTCTTTGGGCCCACTGCTGCTCTCCTCACTGCCGTGACTCTCTTGGTCCACAAAGTCATCCATATCCTGTAGGGACAGCTGACAGCGAATGCTCCGAAAGACAGTCGTTGGAGGTTTCCTCAGCCAGGATTCCGAGGAATAGTCTGGGACCTCGAGAAAGAGACCACGAGAGGACAGAGGGAGCTCGGACGGTGCGGTCTCCCTGACGCAGAAGCCGGGTTCTGAGCGCAGCTGAAGGAAGTCATGTGGCAGCACTGACCAGGCACGCACAAGTCCCTGGTCCTGGGGCTCAGGCATCTGCTGGTGCCTGGCCACCCACTCTTCCGTGCGCCGCAGCTGCGAGTGCACGGTCTGGGGGTGCGGGGTACTCGGGGTCTCTGGCTCTCGCCTGTCCAGGGCCGGGAGCGAAGGGTGGTGGCACTGCGGATGCGGGGTCTCAGAGTACGGGGTCCCTGAGGTCACCGGCTCCGGCCTGTCCCGGGTAGGGGGCGCAGGGCGGTCGCACTGCAAGTGTGGAGTCTCGGGGCTCGGGGTCCCCGGGGTCACTGGCTCCGGCCTGTCCCGAGCAGGGGGAGCAGAGTGGTGGCGCTGTAGATGCGAGGTCTCGGGGCGTGAGGTCTCGGGGTGCGGGGTCCCCGAGGTCACCGGCTCTGGCCTGTGCAGGGTAGGGGGAGCGGGATGGTGGCGCTGCTGATGAGGAAGGTCGGGGCTCGGGGTCCCCAGGTGTGGCCTGTCCTGGACAGAAGGCGTGGGGTGGTGGCGCTGCAGATGCTGAGTCTCGGGACTCGGTGTCCCCGGCTGGTCCCGGGCAGGCGCGGAATCCGGCCGTGCTCCCCGCCACCGAGGTCCAGGGGGCGCCACCTGCCCGGGCCCCTCCCCCACAAGGTCCCGGTACCTGCGCCGCAGCACCACGCACTTGGTGCCGTCGGGGTCCTGGCGCACGGCGGCCACCGAGTTGACGAAGCCTTTGAAGAGCTCGCGGCGGCGCTCGCGCAGGTCTGGGGGCGCGGCAGGGTCGCGCAGGAAGCTCTTGAAGTGGCTGAGCAGCGCGGCGTTGGTCACCCGGCCCCCGGCCTGGCACAGGAAGTCCAGCAGCGCCTCCTGGCTCAGCTCCCGGGCCATCGCTGCCCGGTGTCCCTCCCCCCGGGTCCGGCGAGGGTCACCTGCGCTCCAGGCGGCGCCCCGAGCGCGCCCGGAAGGCCAGGGGTCCCAGCGGCGATCTGGGAGGGAGAGGGCGGCTCCCAGACAGCTACTGGGCGACGCGAGTCCCCGCCGCGCGAGTTCCCGGGAGAGGTCCGAGTCGGTTTCACCTGCGCCCGGGCGCGACACCGCCTCTCGGCCCGCCCCCGCCGTCCCTCCGCCCTCCAGGTCTCGCCCATTGCCGCGGAGCCGCGGGGAGGTGAGTGGCGGGCAGGTAGGCGACTGGCGGCACGCGCGGACAAAGGCCACGGAGGGTGGTCCCCGCGTTCTCCGCGATGCGCAGGTAATGGCTGGGGGGGGAGGGGTGACAAGCGCCCCGCGGTCTCTCCAAAGGGACCTTTACTACGTTGGGAAGGGATTTCACTTCCTGGTGGCGGCATTGAGATCCACTTTGCATCCAAACCAAACCTTTCTTGACAGAGAGATACCAGCGAGGCCACTCCTGCGGTCCAAATGCACCCACCCAACTCTTTACTGGAAAGAGAAATCTCTCTGCCCCAGGCCGGGGCTGGCTTCTGCCTTTTTATGCCTCTGTAATTGTCTCGAGTTAAGGTTTAAAGAAATCACTGCTGGATTTTCGTGACCCTGGAGCCAGAATCAGTAGGAATTATGTCCCTCCAGTTAAGGTATTTGATACCTGGTGTTACTTTGTTTTTGTTTAGTCGAAACTTCGTGAACAGAAGAGATGTGTACAGTCTGTTTTGTGTTTTCTTGCTCACGGTAAGGCTTTGGAAGTTTCCCCACACACAGTCAAAACGTTGAAGACAGGCCAGGCCAGCCCGACCTGGCCCCCGTGCCCCAACGTGGTTAGAATGGTTGCTTCTCTCACCCTGGAAGGGCTGTGCACTGCGCCCTCATCCCTAGACCATCTGCAGAGTAGAGCTGCCTTTTTCATTCTTTGCCTCCTCAAGACAGAATTACAGCACCACCCCCGCCCCCAGGCCGCTGCTGTCTCCCTTTGTTTTCTCTGCGCATTGATCCCGTCTGCTTTTCTTTATCAGACCTGTTTAAAGCCCAAATTAAGTCTCAGTGTTTGATTTTAGCATTTACCTATCTCAGCCTGAAGCACCTGTACCACCACCTTCCCTTTTCTTTCTGTGACAAGACTCGTGTTTATCCCCAGCCCCAATTGCCACCGCACATAAATGTTTCTCAAAATCTTCTCATCTCTGCTGCATTTCCTATTTTATATTCTCTATTTCCCCTCTGTCGTTTGACTCTCTCATCCTTCCTTCCCCTGCTCCACAATTTCTGGTTTTTTATGGGTCCCTGTTCTTTTTACCAAGAAAGATTATTGAAAGTACATTGCTCCTATAATTGTCAGTGTGTTTTAGTGTGCATCCATCCTAGTGGCTGCTATACCAGCCACATTAGCTGAGTTTTATTCAAATCCCCAACCATGCCTTGGTAATTTTCAATGAATGAATTGGAATCCTTGGCTTTAAATTATCTAGGTCAGGAAGAAGAGCTGGAAATATTTTTCACTATTTTAGGCATTATCTAGAGTTTAAACCTAATGCTTGGTTGAGGGGTAAAAATGGTTTCCATTTATGTCTCTACAAAAACATTAGCCCTTTGGATGGTTATTAAAACAGAGGTTTTGTATTAAACATCAACTTTCTTCTGTATTTATTTCCTAATGTTGAATCTTGGTAGGAATACAGAAGCGTGAGCACACCTAGGGCAGAAGGGAGTCCAAATGGAATACTCAGGTGGCCATTTTAGACTGGCAAGTGGAAGGAATTCTTCTCTGGTCCTTTTCAAAATATTTGGTTTCAAAATAAGGAACTTGTTGCAAAGGGGCCACAATGATGTAGACAATGTAGAAGTCTATAAACTTGAACCACTTAAAAGACTATAGAGGAGGGTGTCATTGAAAGTGTGGTTGTTGAAATCAGCTTGTCTTTAATTGAGAGTGGAATTAGCAGGAACAACAACAGCAACAACAACAAAAACAAGGAACAAAACTGGAGAAATCTCACTGCTTTAGATTTCTGGATTCCAGCTGGTTCAGCATGCAGACTACCCTCACTTTCTGTCTTGTCCCAGGGTAAGGGGGTGGCTAATTAGAATGTTCTATACTTTGTGTCAGGGAACATTTTCCTGCTTCCCTCAAACCTAGGTCACTATTTCCAAAAACAATTTATGGAGCAACTATGTTGCATCCACTCTGCTGGAAATGGTATTAAGAAGGTGTACTTGAGAATCCAGTGTCCTTTCGGGGTAGCAGACATGAGAAAGGGCATGGATCTGTGTGCTTGTGTGACTTCAATTTCACAGAGACAAGTGCCACAGCTATGGGGGGAGGACCAAGGGAAGAATCTAGGCCCAGCTTGGGGGGACCAGGACAATTTTTCAAATAAGAGGCAACTTAGAGTAGAAAGGGTGAGAAAACCTTTAAGGCAGAAGGCACCTTAGTACAAAGGCAAAGGGACATGGTTTAGCACAGCTATTCTGGGGAAATGACTGCAAATAGAGCTGCTTGGCCTACTTGGCTTTGAGGTGGAGGTGGATGTGTGGGAAACTGCCAGTGTGAGGTGGGGAGTCAGATGCAGGCTGGGTGGGGGCAGAGCCTTTGAAGAGTTTTTCAGAGGGTTCCAACCTGACCAGAGCTGGACTTTGGAAAAGGCTCCTGGAGCCTGGTGCTGGCTTAGGATCATGACTGGTGTTAATGAATAAGAGAAACCCTTGGCAGAGCAATCCTGTATTGAACCAAACCCAAGGCAGCATTGATTACATGACACATTAGGATTTCAGGGGTATTAAAATGTAAACAACAAAATCCTCTTAAAAGAACTACAGCTGGGGATTGAGCTCAGTTGTTCCGCTGCCTGCCTGGTGAGCACAAAGACCCGAGTTCAATCATTGGTACCAAAAAAAGAAAAAGAAAAAGAAAGAATTACAGAGCCAGGTGCAGTGGCATAGGCCCGTTATTCCACCACTGAGGGAGGCTGAGGCAGGAGGATGGTAAATTTGAGTCCTGCCTGGGGGGAAAAGATCCCATATGTTTAGGGAAAAAAATGTGTATATGTCTATTTGGGAGGAAAATAGCCCTATAAACTGTTTTACAATATGGATATATTACCTTTTCATTTGAAAAAGACACTCAAGAAAAAAATGGCCTTATATGAATAAGAACAAAGAGAAACAACATTAAGTCTTCAGGCTTCATGAACAGAGGTAAAGCTGTCAGCAGGAGCACAGAAATGACCCAGGAAAGGGAAGGAAAAGGGAAGACTCAGGAAAGCTCCGCGGTGGCTGAGAAAGGGGGGTGGGCAGAGGCCCAGAGATAGTTAGGAGGTGCCAGGGCTAGGACTGGGAGCCAGGTACCCCAGAGGAAGAGGAGCAAGTTTGGCTCCTTCCGGGCTCCCATGTGTCTAGCACAGTAGCCAGTTGGGCGTTGGCTAGAACCTGAGGAATGGTTTTGGGAAATGTATAGAATGATTGATTCAGTTTTGAACAACTGATTTAAGTTTGAGGCACCAGGGGGCAATAAAAGTATCTGAAAGGCAATTGGCAATATAAGTTTGGGGAAGCAAGGATATGTGACATTAAATGCTAGAAATGGCATTCAAACCACAGGTGAGAATAAAATTGCTGAGAAAGAGATATATAAGCAGCCAGGCTGTTGGTGCTTGCCTGAAATCCAGCTATAGGATGCTAAGGCAGGAGGATTGCAAGTTGAAGGCCAGCCTGGGCAACTTAGCAAGACCCAGACTCAAAAAAATAAGAAGGGGTGGGGCTGGGGATTTAGCTCAGTGGTTCTGTCACCTGCCTGGAAAGCACAGGGTCCTGAGTTCAATCCCTGGTACCAAAAAAAAAAAAAAAAAGTACAATTTGGAAAAATAAGAAGGGTGATGATCCAGCTCAGTGCTTCTTGGGGTCAATTCTGTAGGGTAGGGGTGCCGAGGAAGAGATAGAGGCTGAACCCACATTTCCCAAGAGAAAGAGGGAAAAGAAACCTGTGGAGGAGACCTGGAATGGTGGCTGGAGGGAAGAGGAACACTGCGGGGCCCTGTGTCACAGCAGCACAGAGTGGAAGGAGGAGCAGCTCTCTAAGATGCTGCCAGGGTAGAGGAGAAAAGAAAGAAGAGCAGAGCTCGTCAAGGCAGCAGGCCATTGGATGGGGAGCAGTTTCAGGGGAGTGTGGGAGAAAGGCCAGGTTACAAAGGGCTGCGGGGTGAGGAGGGGGAAATGGACAGATGATAGACTCATGCATGAAAGAAAGCAGAGACCAGTCTGGAGAGGGGGATATCAGAGCAGATAATGTAAGATTTTTGTTTCAGAACAGACACAATCATGTCTGTGTGCTGAAGGAAAAGAGCTAGGAAAGGATAAGTTGAAGAAGGGAGAGAGGAAATAATTGACGAAAGGGGGTTGGGGTAGGGCTGGCGTCCAGGATTCAGGTAGAGGGGTTCCCAGGGACAGAACCAGAGAGGGAGGCACATTCCTCTGTTAGGACCAGGAGAGGAGCAAGAAGTGGTGGCCCCACCTGTAACAGCTCCTGGGGGTGGGCAAGAGCCAGGAGGGTCACTCAGTCAAGGCCAGCTGGCAAAATGAAATTATAAAAAAGAAGGGCGGGGAGAAACAGAGAGAGAAGGAAGAGAGAGCAGGGAAGTAGAGGAGGGAAGAAAAAGAGACAGAAGAAAAGTAGGTATAGCATGACTTAGGGTAGGCTAACTCAGGAGGCTGAGGCAGGAGAAGTGCCATGAGTTGGAGATCAGCCTGAGCTACACACTGAGTTCGAGGATAACATGAAATACATAGCAAGACTCTGTCTCAAAAAAAAAAAATTAAAGTTGGCTTAACTGCTGTAACAAATAAACACTATCTTGTAATGACACAAAGTTTATCTCCCACGTATGTTGAGGGCAGTTTGGACACACAAGCAGAAAACTACTTTCCATGAAGTTATTTAGGGACTGAGCCTGATGGGAACTCTGTCATCTTTTGTACATGGTCTCGTCTCACCGAATAGCTTGCTAGAAGGTCAAGATCATGGTGATATGTGTCCTTGGAAGTGCGTATCACACCAGTGCCCAAATTCCACTGGCAAAAACCTTTCAGCCTATGGTAACACCCATAGCAAAGAAGGTTGAGAAAATGGGGAGGCTGTGTGTCCGGAAGGGAGGGAGGAAAGGGTTCTGGTTGGTCTCTGCCACCACTCTCGCTGCAAATTCTC